CGTGGTCTCATTTCCAGACTCAGACATTTTGTGAATGAAGCCGATATTTCAGTTAAAATACAYAAGTAAAAATATTTATCCGAGTATAATAATGCTAACCCCCAACTTTATGGATGATTTTATGGATTTAATTTTACGTTCCCCATGATGTAAACTTTTTTGAATAAAGTCTTGAGCTATTCTTTCTCTGCATTTAATATATTTTTTTAGCCTCGTAAAAAAACATCCCCTTGTTCTACGCTTTGCTTTGTACAGAGGATCTGGATGATTGGATCTGATTTTACCTAATTGCTTCATTCACTTTCTCTGCTGCCATTGCTAAACTACAGGCAGACTGCAATTCTAAAACAGTGCAGAAAATTGACATCATCGTTCACAACTCTTMCTCCTGTTTGCTGTTAGGCCAGGTTAAATTTCTACCGAAGAAATCCTTGTCAATGGGAGAAAGCCCAGACGAAGCAGAGAAAGGAAATTTGAATCTAGCAGAATGGCTTAGAAAGGCAATGGTCAGGCTAATACTTTGTTAAAGGGGATGTTTTTCCCATGTAGTTGAAAAATATAGCGTGTTAACTTTAGCTCATTAACATTTTCAAACAGTAAACATTAAAACAAATCTTTAACCTTAGCATAATAATTTGATTACTATTCCCCTGTCATATGAGTTCATGCCTTCTAAGTGTTGTAATTAATAAATCAGTGTTAACCCTTTTTTACTTTCAAAAATGTCAACTAGGGATGTCTGGGCTTTGGTCTACATGCCATCAGTCCTCATCCTCTCCATATGGGTACACCAGTGGTATAAGGATGAAGGCCTCCTGTTGTCTCATCTGGTACGCGAAGGGTGGATGGTGTTCCAAACTACTCCTAATTGCCTGGGAGATGGGTCTTCTAACACAAAACCCTACAACTAGTAGCCCACAGCAACACCAAAGAGCCAGAACAACCACCATAGATTTAACCAAACCACAGCTAGCCTAGAGCCTTCCCATTTCTAAATGTGTTTGCAAACCAATCCTCCACAATCCTCCACTGGGCCAAGAAAGCCCGAAAGAGTTTGACCATCTCCTCAGACCCACTTTTGCAGTGTTAGTAATTAGCCTAGAAATATTCTGCTCTGACTGGTCATCAATCTTCAGTTAACTACTCATCACTAATTCAAGTCGGTAAAAATGTTTAACATACCAGCAACATGTAGCTATTTTGGTGCTTTGTTAGAATGTGTGAACAAACCGTTAGATCATTTTGTGTTTGTGATAGACCTGTAAAGGAGAAATCAATCAAATCTCAAAAAAACTGATATTGCATGAAWGTCATTTCGTAAAACACTTACATAAATCCTAGGTATCCTTTTAAAAGCCTATTACTCAAAGAACTTGTTTTTCACGCTTTTATCCGTAAATGCCAAAATGTAGTGATTTTGGGGGAGGAGTTACTGTCCCAGATCACGACGCATGTTGTGCTACCACTACCTTCCAAACAACAGTGAAGAATCATTTAAAATGGAAGCAGAAGACTTCTTTGAATCTGAAGAAATGCCAGAACAYTTTGTGRGAGTAAAGGACATACAACCATACCAGTATGAAMCTCAACCGACAGCTGGAGGATCTCAGGATTCAGATGAAAATTCTTCAGATCCTAATTCTGATGATGAGGACGATCATGGCCGACAAGACAATAAGCCCAATGAAAGAGTTGGGAACATTGAATGGTAAGAACCAATTATCCCCGAGAACACTTAAATTTTTAATGTATATTTTGGTGATTTTGTGCATTAAGCTAAATTTCTATTCTGGAAATATGAATAGCAATGCTAGTTTTAGCTGCCACATGCTTATGGTTTRCATGCAACAGCTAACAGATTGATTGTGTTGAAGCACAGAGGCTTCTGTGTTTATATGTGACCCATCAYGTCACCATGCACATTAGTTYATGGAGAATAACGGATGAAAGATAATAAACGTTGCTCCTGCAAGCTTTAGTAGGAGAAAAAAATACAGTATAATTGCCATATTTTTAGATTGATATTTTAAGGTTTTATGCCCACCTCTCAGTGGCTCCATCTACCTTTTCTATTCAGGCTCATCATGGTTCCCCTCTCCCTTGTCCCAACATGTGAAGGTGTTTATGGAATGACTCACTGTGATTTGACTGAGTCCAGCCAACCGCATGGTGAGAGTGGGGGACATGAAGTATTTGAAGGCGAGGTCCAGGCTCTCCTTGTCGAAGCACAGCGCACTGTCCAGTGGCTCCTTCACAGTACTCCACATCAGATCGGCCATGTTGCGAGCCGCACTCTGGCGCAGCTCCTGATCTGACAATTTACACAGATACCTGTAGAAAGAAAACCAACATTTTGTGTAACATTAAAAATGATCGTATGTTTCTTAAAACGTTTAAAGGATTATTTCACTTATAAACATATTTTAATGATCATTAAAAATAATTTTCAAACATGTATAATAAAATTTAATTAAACATTTCTATTTCTTTTTTAATTTAATCATCTATTTATTATGATTCAAGTAAACTGAAATCAATAAACTTTTATGCTATTTTAAGGAATGATTCATCACTGCTGGGATCACTGTTATTTTACATGTTATTATACAAGCTGGTTTTCCAGAGCAGGCATGATTGTCAGCAGTGTTGCAACATTCATTCAAATGGTGGCATCAACTCAACCAAGAAAACCATTAAACAACAACAATCAGATAAATCTTAAACAACTTGGAGGTCCATCTAGGCAAACAACCTCCATCGAAGCACAACAAGTTTAAAGATCATGCAGATAAATGGTGTTAAGTATTAGAAGGAAGGCTAGTTTGCTTCACTCTTACTAGTAACTAGTGTTAGATGGTAGTTATCTGAAGTTTCTGTTCAGAGTCTGCAAGACTCTTTTCAGCGAGTTTAGTGAAAGCTTTGTGAAGCTTGATCGGTCATTTGTGAAAATGAAATAACAGCCATTAAATGTTAATTATGTGGCTTTTCTTTTATATACACACTTTTTAGGTTAATAAATAAGGTTGGAATGAAAATGTGGAATTCAGTGTTAGTGATTCCTGCCCTACAACAATATGCCCGCAGTTCATACTTTTGGTTTTACAGATTGTAACAGACTTAAGTTGTTTTTTTTTTGTTGTTTTTTTTTGCCCACTCCCCAGTCAGGAGTCTATAGTCGTGTTGGTTTTTGAAAGACTAAAACACTGCCTCATTACCCAACTACTCACTTCTAGAATCCAACTGTTGTACCCGGAAGCAGACATTTATAAAGATAATCAAATGGCTAAAAACTAGGGCTGTGAAATTAATCGAGTCAACTCTGATTAATTTTAGTGCTGCATGGGCATAGAAGGTTAAAAAAACTCCATGTGTAACACATTATGTTCAGGGTTTTTTTTCTTTTTGTCTTCTTATGGCT